ACATGTTGAACCCAAATACCTGTAGTTTCTACTTCTTACATGTTGAACCCAAATACCTGTACTTTCTACTTCTTACATGTTGAACCCAGATACCTGTACTTTCTACTTCTTACATGTTGAACACAAATACCTGTACTTTCTACTTCTCACATTTTCCAAACAGGCTGGTTCCTTTAGTTTGAATGTGTGTTTGGTGGCGTGGTCATTATTATTTAGAGTCATTGCGTGCCTATTGATTTGAACACGATCCGTGTATCCATCATTTCCTGGTCTTCTCTAAAGAAGAGGGACCAATGGAAACGTTGTCATGTTGCCGTTGTTCAGCATGGAAACATTCATTAGCTAACAATGACATTATTGTTCTATTAATATAAAGGGAGGTAAGGTACTCTTTAAAACAGCTGCTAGTTATGGGTACTTTTAAACATGTATATCTGTACTTCTACTTGAGTGAAGGATGTGTGATTCTAAACCCTGATAGATATGCAGTAGTGTCGTCAGAGATGTGACACATGGCTCAGCTGCTGCCACTTTATTCTGCATTTTTGGCGAGGTTACGCGTCCAGGGGGGGATTAAATGGATTGAACACTAATGTTTCCACAGAGCATGTGGTTACTGTTTCCTGTGGCTCTTCCGCTCACCAGAGGAACAACCCCCGCTATACCAGCCTTTATGAAGCTCATTTCAGACGCCTTTTATTTCATGTAGATATATTTAAAACAGCCTAAAGACACTCACTATCTCTTAGCTCTTCCCTCTCACACATTGTTGTTTTGTCGGAAACATTGGATCCTAAAATTTCTTTTTCTAGTGTAAATTTTCCTAAATTGAAAATGTTTTCAGTTGCAAAATAAGTAAGTAGAAAGCTCAAAAGTGTGGGTGCCAAATACAATTAGACTTGTATGCAGAATCCATGTCAAACATCATTTATCTGTTGATTTTTGTATTAATAATAATTGTATTCTAATTCAAGCTTTCAAAAGGATTCTGCTGCATAAAATGGAAAATGCGAAGTTGATAATTTGACTGTAACACCTGTATTTCATATAAATACAACCCAAACACACTATTAAACCATTATTACAATGTTTACACTGTTATTACATTAATATCACACTGTTGTTACACCCACGTTACACATGAATACACCCTATTACACCCTAACATTGGTAATCCTGCTATATTCCACTGTTATCAGACCCATTTCACACATGAACACAACCTGTCACACCCCAGCATACCGAAACCATTCAAAGGTTAATGTCATGGTTTGCAATTTGAAGCCAATTTTTTGATACTTTTTTAATATTTGGGTATATTCGTAGTACAGTACTGCATCACAACATGTCATCAGCATATAGTGTGTTTGTATATATGTAGAGAGTAACTTTGAGTGAGAAAAAAGCACGATATAATCGTAGTAATAAGCAGCATGAAATGGAACTACTTCAACATGTTACTGCGGTCTGGTGTTTGAGTAAATGTACTTTGAAAGATGTCACATTAACCCAAGAAAAAACAACGACTTCGCAGTGTCAGCGAGTCAAAGTGCCATCAGAGTGCCTACACACACACACACACACACACACACACACACACACACACACACACACACACACACACACACACACACACACACACACACACACACACACACACACACACACTACTACTACACTACTACTACTACTACTACTACGTACTACTACTACGTACTACGTACTACGTACTACGTACGTACCACGTACTACGTACTAC